CAAAGATATAATATCAAGGTTAGGATCCAACTATGAAGATTCACAACTTAGAAATGGGATGCCGAGATCCAAGTGTAAATTTCATAAAGGTAGGTGAATGACGATTCACCAATTCCACCATTAGAAGAAATAAACGAAGTGAAATTCCTAATTATTTTGAGATACATTGAAACTATTCAATGGCATGTTTTAATCTCAGATTATGCTCTTCTATTTGTGACTGGGATGCCGAGGATCACAAACAAGATGTGAATAACCATGCAAATGTGCTTGGTAACCTCATTGTCTTTATCATTAACTATTGATGTGTTGGTAAACCACACACGCTCCATTAAAATGACAATTATGAGATACCCATTACTACTCTTTATTAGTGCCTTTTAGTGTGCTGGTTAACCACACACGCCTACTAACGACCAATAAAGCATAATGTGCAATTTCATGGATTAGCATACTTTTCACATTTTTCCTAAAGTAACTAGAGTTGGGATTTGTAAAATAATGTTCTAGTACTTTCTTTAATAACATTATACTTTTAATGAGATGTAGTTGTCCTATCAAACCCGTTCTGCTAACGACCCTCCACTAATCAAGGAAGCGGTGGGTGAGAGTGGACACCCATTCAACTACCATTTTATAGGCAGTTTCCTTATACCCCCCTTATAGACTAGCTTCGTGAATGAGGCATACTAGCGATTTGACTGACCATATTCTTATACATATATAATATTTAACTTTTAATTATAATACATATATAAGGTGTGTTTTAAACTTTTTAAAACTTTAAGGTTTATATAAATTTCGAAAATTAAGACATTAATTTTAAATTTAAAATAAACCAAATAACTAGATTTAATATTTATCTATTAATTAACTTTTAATTAATTTATTAAATCTTGTAAGGATTATCTAATTAAATTAAACAATTAATTTAATCCTAATCCATATCCCTTCTAGATTTCGAAAATATGGGGATAGGATAATTTCCTTATTTTTCTCAATTATCCAATAAGGCAACTATTATCCAAAACAAAGAAACCCTAAAAAGGGGCTAGCATATTTCGAAATTCAAGGGAGGAGGCTAGGGTTTTTCAAAACCCTAATCCTAATTTCGATTAGGGTTCATGGAGGCTAGGTTTTTTTCGAAAACCCTTTGAACCAAAACCCTAAAATCGAAAATTTTGGCCTTTAGGGTTTAATGGCTATAAATCCTAATTTGCAATTCAACTATTATAGCAATTCAATTTAAAACAAACAATGGCTCTGATACCACTGATGGGTTTTAGGTAAAACAAATAAACTAGAAAACAATTCCTAAGTTCACATGCAACCTACTTTGGATCTATGTTTTAACTATTGAACATATAACTTTGAATTACAAAACAAGAACCCTAGAGGAGAGAGGCTAATTTCGAAATTAACAAACTAGGGTTTAAGAGTTACATACCTTTCAATTGTTATAGCAAACAATTGACAATCCTCTTGATCTTGATCTTGATCTTCTTGGAAGCTTAGCACCACAAATGTAATGCCTCTAATGGAATCACACCCAAGAACTAGCAAGAAGGAAACTTGAAGAAGAGAGAGAGAGAGGGTATGCAATTTTCGGCCTAGGGTTTCTTCCAAGGTAGGAGTGGCCGAAATTGTGAGCTGGGAGGCTCCTTATATAGCTGAGGGATCTAGGGTTTAGGGAAAACCCTAATACTCCTTTGCTTAGGGCCTAAGCTAACCCAAAGGACTTATCCAAAGCCCCTTGGACGAAATCCTTAGGGTTTCCCCTATAGATTTCGTCCACCTCCTTCCAAGGAGGTTATGGATCCTTCCACTCAACTATTAGATAATTGCAAACTAGTCCCTGCACTTTATAATTAATACTTTTAACCCCAAAATTAATTCTGATTAATTTCTGGCTAACTATTAATTAAACATAATGATTTCTAATTAATATATTAATCTTTTAACATATTAATAAATCATTTATATTAATTCATTAATCTTATAAATTAATATCTCTCCTTTCATAATTTCCTTGTCGAGTTGCTAGGTTGAGGGCAACCCAAAAGGACTGTGCTGCTATCAATTCAAGTACATACCAATTATAGTTATGGGCTTAGACACCTAATCCAACACTTTGTTCTTCAAGATATGTATATGAAAATGAGAACATTGATATATTCAATCTCAAATGTTCAAGATTTTGTTTCCCGATACTAACTTGCATCAATCAAAAAGAAAACTGCATAATTGAACCATCAATTCAGTCTAAGCACGACCATGCATTTTAATGTCAACACCAAATCATCGAGGGGAACAATGATATATATTTTTATTTTTTGGAGGAGAAGAGAACAATAAACTTCGACTACAAAGATTTCGCCTATTCCTCATGTCATATCTAGTCAAACCCTTTATGATTGCCATTTACGAACAACGTTTGGGGGAAACCAAGAGTAAAAAGATTGTAGGAGAGAATCTCAAGCATCTCCATTTGAAGAATATATGATACTACCATCTTAGAATTACTTGTAATAGAACCCATGAAGTAATCTGTAAGTGTGGGTTATTCCAATACCTTAAAATCTCCATTTAAAGTTCGCGTGAGAATCGGTTCCAAATTTTTCTTTGTGCATCACCATGGACAATCTACCAATGCTCCATGACAATCTTAAATCACTACTTACTTCCAAAAGTACGACCGAGAATTTCGAATAACTTAATATTCTACAAGTGGTTCTAAACATGCAAAAGTGGAACACAATAAAAACCGAAAGAAATGTCTGATTTACATAAAATACTAAGTCCTCCACTTAATTGTAACAACCCAAAAACCATAATAAAATTTTTCATTGAAAAACTATCAATTTCGCTCATTAATTGATTCAAAACCATCAGTAGATATAATATCCAAAATATCATAGTACAATTATTGAAAATGCGGAAATCATGAGGGGATGATGATGTGTTATCACGTCGGGCCCATCCCTTTTGAACCATAAGTACATGAAAACATAAGCATAAACTGTAAGCACATAGCTTAGTGAGTTCCCCAAAGTACCACATGCTAGTCATATCAATATGGGCCCCGTCGTGGGGTGTATTTCAACCAAATAAACAAATATGGGCCCCTTTGGGCCTCGTCCTTAGGTATATTTCAACCCGAACATGTCATAGTGGGCTCCGCCCTAGGGTATGTTTCAACCCAAACATGCCATAGTGGGACCTGCCCTAGGTAATGTTTTAACCCAACAAAACGCAATGGGCCCCGCCCTGGGATATATTTCAACCTGATCAATCTAACAAGTACATATCACATAGTAGCTAATATTCTATATAACCGAAATACGGGCCGACATTGGTGCCTTCAACCCATGTATACAGTGAAAAACTCACCTCACAGACAGAAGAAAAAATGGAAATAGCACACTGCTCCGAAATTAACTCTACCAGTCACCTTTACAAATATAGTGACCAATACTCAACAAATAGGTCAAAATACCTAAAATACCCCTAGGTCAAACCATGGTCAGAATATATGTCAAAGACAACCGAGTCATCTGATTTAACTCGGTGAGTACGTTGGGCATTCCTAACTTGAATGTGGGGCGTACTGCTTTCCTGACAAAATGTGGAGGGGCTGACCCTGAACGCACCGCGTACCCTTTGGTACGCCAAACGTTCGTGGCTGTATCCCACTCAATCCATTAAGTGCTAAATCCTTAAGCACTTACGTCCAAACTCTAGATCTAGACCCTAAGAAGTGTTCTTAACAATAAAGTTTCCAAGTTTATGGTTTTTCATGGCTAATAAGACCTTATTTCCAAAAACCCTAGTATCTTGACCCATTAAGACAATCTAGATCATGCATGGGAAGGAGCTAATGTCCAAGATCATATTTTTATGACTTAACACACCCTATAACATCTGAAATGACAACTCAAACATCTTGGAGTACTCCATGCTCACAACGATCAAGATTTGGGACAAAAAGGTGCTAACTTTAAGCTAAACTACATCTTTATGGAATATTCATCAAGTTGGAGCTTTATACCTCCAGAAGATGCACAAGACAGTGTAGTTGTAGGATCCAAAGCGTTGAGTAAAACACCACACACTACTAGAAAGCGGCCCTTTAATGCCACGCAAACAATGACATACACTAATTTACGATACGCATTTTTTGCGTGTCCTAAAAATAATGTCAGTTTTCCAAAATTTGAAGGATAGAGGACACGCATTTATGCGTGCCGTAAAATTAGTGTCCAACGAAAAAGAAATTACAAACACGGAAGGCACCTAAATAAAATGGGTGTCGTGTAGAGATGTCGTTTTATAATTTTTTTAATAAGGCACGCTTGTCCCCTTCTTTGATACAGCCAAGGGGGGAAACCAAATCCCCCAAAAATTTGAAGTGCCCCGCCTTCCTCTTCCTCTATGCTCTCTCCTCTAGGTCTGGAAATTGGTTCGAGTTTTGAGCTCACCATGTGAACTAATGCAAACCTGAGATTCTTTCTCTTCATCTTTATGTCTTCGGCTTTGATAAAGATAGAAGGAAATGGATCTCTTACGCCCTTATTGCACAAAGAAACTAGTGTTGATGTTATAATCCCTTTTCATCAACAAAAATTCCCAAGTGATCATCTCGTTGCTTGGTAAATAGATAATTGCATCATTTCTTGTGAAACTGTAGATAGTTATCAAGAAACCAAGGAATTTTCATATCCATTTGAAGCATCCACATATTATAAAGAGGAAATGGATCTATCCATTAGATGTCGGGTCAACCATTTTTCTCTTTCTACTATTTTTGTTAACCCTAACCTCATTTGAAGGCAATCGTATCTACGACTTCTACACCACCATCAGAAACTCTATTTTGTTGAAGATAAGCTCCATCTAATCGGCATCTCTGATGTACCTAATCCTCTTCGCTTTGCTTACCTCATATACGGCTCGAATCATGACGACCTTATGCTCCGACGGGTGCTTCTTGCAGACCTACTATGGTGGCGAATAGGCTTCATGCGGCGACGATTTTGTTGAGAGAAGGTGGCAATTGGGACTGGTTTATAAATCTCGGCGCCTCTAATTATCCCCTCGTCACTCAAGACGGTGAATTTCTCTTTTTCTATTTTTATTCAGTTAATCAAACATACTTCATTTGCTAAAACTGGCTCTGATGATTTTCGTTTTTGTTGCAGATCTGCTTCTTACATTTTGTTCGCTATCAAGAGATCTTAATTTTATTGATCATATAAGCAATATTGGATGGAAAGAGTAAGATTTTTTTAAAATCTCTGATTCAAATTGTAAGATCCTTTCAACTTTACAAATTTAAAGGAACATATGTTCTCCAGATTTCAAAGAGCAAAACCATTTCAGTTCATCTCTTTGCTTGGTAATTACATATTTGCATCTTTGTTTTTTATATCTGTTAGTATTGATCATCCATTTTTATTGCTTTTCTTTTTTGAATTGGTTGTAAGTTTTCCTGTTTGAGTACATATAAATGCAAGTAAGATGTCCCAATCTAGATGCCATCCAGGTGTTTGTTGAAAGTCCCAAGTGAATTTTTTTGTTATTTTAGACATTAAGTTCAATGGAAAATCTGTTTTATGGGGTAAGCTTTATGAGTTTGTTGATGAAAGGTTTAGAGTTTGTTGATGTCATACCTAGACTAATTATTTTTTCTTACTCTTCAACTTTATGAGTTTGTTTTTGGGTTTTTCTTTTCCCAGATCTTGACACTGATCAATGGATGACATTTGTAGTTTTTTTTGAAGGTTGTGGAAGCATTATTGGAATAGATTGTCTAAAGTTTCTCGAAATTGGGAAGTTCAATGGGATTGCCACGACCACCAGCACCATTCATGCTCTGCCTTCTCAGCTAATTAGCATCGTCTGCCTTCTCCATTCACCTCTGAAGTATGCCTTATATCGGAATTTCAATCGTGATTTCTCTTTGGGGAAGATTTTAGAACCGTCACTCGGGTGAACTTCCTGCCAAAGTTTTGCATTTTCATTCTTTTATTAAGTTTTTCTTCATGTGATTGTTGATTTAGGTTAAGAATTAAAGTAACCAAGCTTTACAAAATGTAAATATTTAGGTAAATAAACAGAAAAAAATAATATTATCTCTTGTGTGTTTGATAATTGCTATTTATTGGAAAGCATAACATGTATTTGATAAAATGCTTTGACATATGAATGCTTCTTAATTTCGTGGTTAATCTTTCCTCCTAAACAGTAAAAGGTCTTTCTAATTTATAACAAGTTTAATTTCTGCATAGTTTACTCCTAAGGGTTGATTTATCAAAAATTGACCGTGTTTTCTTGTGCATGTTCAATAAAATAAGGTACCTCAAACTTCTGCAGAGTTTTAGCCTAGAGTTATGAGGTTTAAGTTTAAAAACTAGGCAATAAACTTTTATTTTGGTAATTAATGACAGATTGAAAAATGTCTTAACAAAAAAATGACTTTTTGATAAGATTTCAGTCTAAAGAAGAGATTCTTACCAATAATTCAGACCAGAAACCACACCGAGGCTCTCCAAGAAGAGATGAATGCTTAATTTTGTATTCATCTCTTCTTGAGATCTCATCAGACCACATAGAAAACCTCAATTATTGGTAAGAATCTCCATAGACCACAATAATGTCTTTCTTAGATTTCATGATCCCTAACCTAATGTAGCATCTGGTAATTTGGACAACAGGGAACCTCTAGAAATCAGCAAATAGAAATATTCATAGGGGATTACAGAGCTATAGCTCCAAATTGATATAGATATTCAGAAATAAAGAAAATGACAAACTCATTCGTTGAGAAACTGGGACAAGCAGGCTATGAAACTGTCTACAAAGGACAATTGCCTGATAGGAAACTAGTTGCAGTAAAGCTTTTAGGCAAAGCCATGGGAGATGGAGAAGACTCGGTTTTCTCTTGTTAACCCCTTTTAATTATGTTTAAGTATGCATCTTTTAATTCAGGGGTACTTTTGTCAATTAACATGTTTCTTTTTCCATTTTCTTCGATTTCTAGCTTTTTGCCTTCTATTTAAGAACTCGTTCCTTCCTTTCCACCCCTGTACTTTTGCTAGATCTTTGATGCTGCAATGTTCATATGCAAATAGTCTTTATAATCATGTGTTTTCTTGGCCTTCTATAAAGCAGTAGTAGTAGAAGAAGAAATAATCAGCAACAAGTTCTTCAGTTTCTGCCTTTTTTGCTTGAAAACACACACTCACAAAAAAAATTCTTCTTCCTTCAGGTTATTTTTTACCCCTTTAGATTCTATTGCCATCATTGCTACCAATGTTGTCCAATCCATTCCCTACTTTGGTTTAAAGGGCGTCACTAGATCACCACCATTTTTCATATTTTATAATTTTATAAAGAAAATAATGTATTTTATTTATTAATTGTGAGTTTTATCTTTGTGTAGGAGCATGCCTTGATGTTGTAGCAAAAAGTCTCAACTTAAAGTTTTTGAAGTTTCAACTGATGGATATTCTTTGGTAACTTGATGGATGTTGGACTATGTTTTTTTTTTGTGGTGAAGAAAGTTTCAGAACAGGTAAATAAATTAATATATATTTTTTCAAGAATCTTTCACTACATTTCTAATTATTTTGTTTTTATTTGTTATAGGATCGGACCATATATGTGATACGCAACTTACTTAAAGCACATGTATTCAAGGGGTCCCACAATGTGGTCAACCCTACAACCGTGAAGTCGTGGAAAATACTAACTATTCAAGATTTGGTTTGTTTAAAATGCAAGCAAAGAGAAGGATTGATGGCAATTAGAAAAACATAATCAAATAGATGATGGCAAGGGTCAGTCCACTTATTTTGGTTTCCCCTGTTTTATTTACTTGTTTGTTTCAAAATTTATTTTTTTTAAGATAAGAGTTGTAGTGTCTTTATATAATTATTAGCTAAACTTGTTAAGAATATGAAATAAAAACGTTTTTAAAGCAATTACAGTTAAAAGTTTTAACTAAATTAATTGTCACGAATGACGATGTAGAGCTGGTGGGGTTTGCAAACTTCTTTAGACTGAAATCAAAACCATTCCAATAAAAAATGTGGCTTAATTCTGTATTCAGATACTACATCCATTTGTGTTGCAAAAAATGACTTTTTTGCCCTTTGGAACATTTCTTGTTACGTTTTGTAAATGTAGGCACTACAAGTTGTGGAGGCAAAATATTTGAAGGCATTTGATCTTGCCTCCAAACCTGAAGGAAGTGGGACCCCAACAAAAGACTTGATTTGAAGGTGAATAATATATTGTTTTACATAAATGGCAGTCACAAAAAACAGAAGAATTGCTTCTTGATTTGAAGTTGAAATCAATAGTGAGCAGCCTGCAGCCCTACAATCGTTCCAAATGAAACTACTAATGCAACCGCTTGTGTAAGTCTCATGTCATACCAAGTTTATTTTTAGGGGCATTTGTGTCTTTTCTGCATAGATTAATCTAAATGGAAAATATGTAGAAACTAGGGATGCAAGTTTGACCCACGGGGACCCGACCCGAACATGGCAGTATTCCCCGACTTGACGTGTAATCAGGCGGGAACCAGTTCTATTTTTCATATCCGAAGCGGGTACGGGTCGGTGACGGACTGACGGGTATGACAATATCCGCCCCGTTTAATACCCGATTATATATATATATATATATATATATATATATATATATATATCATATTTTAAAATTTTATGAGGATATTTTATTTTTATTAGTGTTGCAATTAAAACCTAAGAAGATGATCAGTACAATATTAGCCTAACGAAGATTTTTTTTAATAGTTTGCTGCTCCAGCTGGTATTTATTTCATAGCCTGTATATGATAGTTTTCCAAATTAGTTTACCAAGTTCATGCTTAATAGTCTTTTAGATAATTTAGATATTTTGATTTATGTATGTTCACGAAGAAATTTTATCATTAGGAAACCTCATATGTTTAAAATATAATATCTAATTGATGATCCTAAGCTCAATGCATTCAAGATAATCGTTATATAAAATTTAGTGATAGTCATTTTTAATATATCTTCAAGTTATGCTTCTTAAATGAAGAATACAAAAAAGACCAAGCTATTTCTCGTAAACCTCATCTTTTTTTTTTTTTCCAACAATTATTTAAGTTAAAAGATGTGCATATTGAAAAATGAACATGAGAGTATTTTTGTTTTCCTTTGAAAATTAATGCAAGACTTGATAAAGAGATTAAGTGGAGAAGCAAATGTTGATCTTCTAATGTTGTTCTTTTACATGTGCTTGGAATTAGACCTAAAGTTGGTTGCTGATATAGAAATAGTGGGTTCTCCAAATGCAGGAAAAAGCATGTTTTTAAGTGTTATTAGTGTTGACATTTAATGTTAGGTAACTTGTTTGACATGTGATATTTTTTTGAAATGAATTATCTTTCTTATGTATGGTATTTTATTTTGTATTATGATAATTTCAATATGTTGTTTAATTTGAAAATTAGTAATTCTATCAAAAATATATATATTTAAAACATTTAAAGTTATGACACGCAAATACGTGTCATCTTCATTTATGACATGGGCTTTAATGATACGCAATGCGTGTCCTAAACACGCGTCGTAAGGTTACGACACGCAAATGCGTGTCGTCTTCCTTTATGACAGGGCCTTCCTTGATACGCATTGCATGTCGTAACTGCGCGTCGTAAATGCGTGTCATAAATGCGCGCCGTAAATAGACGACGCGCAAAAGCGTGTCGTCTCTCGTTATGACAGGGCCTTCCTTGACACGCATTTGCGCGTCGTCTGAGCGTTTTACGACACGCATTACGCGTCTTAAAAGGCTGTTTTTCTAGTAGTGACAACTTCTAGGTTCCTCCTTCACCACCAAGAACACTAGAATGGCACCAAAAAGGTTCTTCAAGCTTCAAAACACACTTACTCACTTTAGGGTTTCGAGATAGGGATGGAGGCTGAAGATAAATGAGGGTATGGGGCTATAATGATCAAGGTTCTAAAAAGCTCGCCATGGCTCCAAAGGCTCGCACCTGCCGCCAAGCTTTACCAAAATGCCGCCTTAACTCATATGCGTGTATGAAAATGAATAATAGTTGAAAATACATATAAAAATATTAATTATATAGAAAATTGCCGCCTTAAGTCACGCCTTACAAACGTCGTGGCTCGCCAAGGCTCGGAAAAGCTTGAGGCTTGACATTGCCGCCAAGTCACGCCTTACGTTATTTAGAACCTTGATAATGATGCTTAAATAGGGTCCAAACCATAAAATTTAAGTTTTGCACCCTAGCCATGTACGCCCAACGTACGAGAGTTCTACGCAAAAATTACGAAAATACCCCTTGGGACTAAATTTGAAAACCAAACTCAAATCAAGGGTCAAATTTTAAAATACCTGGAAGTCAAGATGTTACCACTCTCCCCCACTTGAACTAGACTTCGTCCTCGAAGTCTGTTGCTGCGAATAAATCAGGTTAGTGCTCTCGCATCTCCGCCTCAGGCTCCCACTTCCATTCGGAACCCTTCCGATGCTGCGAGTGGACCTTCAGCAGAGATACTCCTTTGTTGCGTAGAGTGTTCTTCTTCCAATCCAAGATCGTCACCGGTCTCTTCACATTATTCAGACGATCATCAGCCTGAATGTAATCCAAAGGAACAACTGCGAGCTCATCTGCCACACACTTCCGAAGCTGAGACACATGGAAGGTTTTGTGGATTCGGCTGAGCTCATCAAACAAATCCAGACGGTATGCAACCTTTCCCACCCAGGCAGAAATCCTGAAGGGACCAATGAATCTGGGTACCAACTTTCCTCGCTATCGAAATCGGATGACACCTTTCCAAGGTGACACCTTCAGAAACACCAAATATCCCTCCTGAAACACGAGGTCCGAACGTTCCCGATCTGTGTAACTCTCATGTCAGCTTTGCGCGACTCGCAACTTGTCGCGCACCTGTTGAATCAATTTAG